AGTGCCTCCTTGCTCCAAGGACTCCCTGCCCAGGATGTTCCTGCAACAAAACCCTTGGCCCTCCAGGCCACCAGGCAAACCCTGGCTTGGATTTCCTTTGGGGTAAACCAATGCGGCCTTGTTCTTGCTCTTGTTCCAGACCAGAATTTTTTTTCCTTCTTATTCTCTAATGCTATCAAAACAAACCGAAAACATGGTTTATGGTGCATGGGGCTTAATCTGACTTAATATATAGACCGCACATATTCCTCGGGAATCCATTAAGTTTCATCGGGTGCAGGCTGGAGACCACGTCTGAGGAAAGGCCCGGGTTCATCCACAGTTCACATGGCAGAAATGAGTGAGTCACTCGTCAATGGCACAGCCAGGGCTGGATTACCCTGCGGCTTCCTTCCTTAAATGGACAGAGATTCCAACTGCTGCGTGAATAACAAAGACCTTAATGTCCCACTGGCCAATGGAGACCAGGCTAGCCAGCGAAGGAACCGCAGCAGCTGTTTTTTTCCAGAGTGCTGAAGGCTGCAATCTTAGCCCTGCTCAGCTGTCATGGTGAAACCTTGTGGGGTCCAGCAGAGAGAGGGCAGATGGCCCCAGGCCATCCATCCGTCCCACCCCTGGAAAACCACAGTTGGAATTTGCGTCCTGTGGACAGGGGTCCCCCCAGCATGCTCTGTGGCCAGCTCCCTGCCCAGGGAAATGCCACTCTTTTACTTGAAGGGCAAGAGCATTACCCGGCAACGCGCTGGGCAGGAAACGACAGTGAGAACGCACAACACAGCGTTACAAACCCGATCTTCTTTCCCAGCCCTTTAATGTCTGGTCTACTCCTTACTTTCTCTTTTTTGACTTTTGTTCTTGACTCTCTTGTGTCTGCCTTTGGAGTATTGGCTAGGAGTTTGATAAATATTAAGTGTTAAATAGTCATCATGCTATGTGCTTCGCTGTTAATTAAGCTAACATAGAGGAAGATGAAAGGTTGCATCTATGTGAAAGTCACCCCCATTCCAACTTCTGGTTCTTCCTTGCATAAAATGTAAGTCTATGGAAAACTAAGACTTCACATTTATTATATTCACCTTTAAAAGGTCATCATTCTTCTGATTAAAAAAAGGGGGGGGTGGATCAGTGGCACAGCAGAACGAAAACCCTAAAAAGAGGATTGGAACTTGAACGTCATAGAGACTCAGGGCATGCGTACAGGGGTTCAAATGCTAGCCCTGGTACTTTCTTAGGGTAACCTGGGCAAGTTCTAAGCAGTCTGGACTTCAGCTTTCTCATCTGTGAAATAGAACAATAACAGGGATCCGCAGGTGGCATGATGGTTAAAGGTGCTGGACCTACATGGTTGACAGCAGTTTGAGTCCCAGACCTGGCAGCTTGCTTTCTCACTTTCTCTCTCTCTCTCACTCTGTCCCTCTCTGGTCAAATTCAAATAAATAAAATGAATAAATAAATAAAGTTAAATGAAAAAATTCTAAAAAAAAAAAAAAAGGAAATAGAACGTAACAGTGAGCCTCCTGGGGCTACTATGGAGATTAAATGAAGTGACGTGGAATGCTCCTTACTTAGCAAGAGCTCAGGAAATGTGACTGCCATTTCCCTCCTTTTTCTCCTCCTCAGATATTGATATTTTCCAGCAAGAGGGCAAACCTCACTTGGATAGGCTTTGGTGTATCATTTAAGGCAAACTGGCTGCCTAGAGAAATTTGCTCCAGTCCTAAGGCCTCTCCATATTAATAGGTCTGATTGTGTCAAAGCTGATGGAGCCTTTGGTTCCTGGCCAGGATGCAGAGACATGAGGGCCTCTTCATGTTTATGAATGACTGGGTTTGGTGAGCTTCTTTGATGAGCTTCTTTGTCCATATTCAAGGGAACGGGGTCAGTGTCCCTTCCCTAGAAATACTGCCCCCATGTCTTTGCCCCTTAGAAAGGCTGCTTTGTTGTTGCTGCTGTCGTTATATCTAAACTTTCTTTAAATTGACCTCCTTTCCCCACAGTATACGCCAAAATAATTGGCCCCTAATCAAATGTTTCAGAAAGGAGCCCCAATGCCTTTGGTTAAATGCCAAATAAACAACTCTCCCCCTGGGATAGGGCCCTCTTCTGGCAGATCCAAAGCCTTGCAGAGCCCAGGGCACCGACCACTATACATACTCTCCATGGTGGAAAGAATCCCTAGTGTCTGCTCCTCTGTATTCAAGAGCCATCTTCCCACTGTCTGTCTGCCCTCGTCCCTGGGCTCAGCTACTGGTCCAGGATCAACAAACATGTTGACTTACAGTAAGTCCTCTTGGCTCCCCTGCCCCTTGCTCTCAGCCAGTGCCCAAAGCTATGACATGGAATTAAAATGTGGCCACACACCCAATGAAGCTATTGTGCTTTGAACCCAGTGAGCATGACCCGATACTCCACAGGGCTGGTTGGGTTTCAGTGGCTAAAACTGTCCAGTGTGCTCAGAGTTATTTCTTGACACAAGATTTCACTGTCTAAAATGGCTCAGCCAATAAGAATGGTGAGCATTATGAACCCATTCTGAAGATGAACTTTAGAAAGAGAAAAAATAATCAGGAAGAATACAGATCAAAATGTTAGCACAAGTTACATCTTCATTGTGGGAATACAGTTTATTTTATTTTGTTATTGCTTACTTGTATTTTCTAAAATTTCCCTAATGGCCATACCTCATTCTTGTAATTAAAAAAAGATAAAAATTCATGTTATGAAGGAAAGCTTACTAAAACAGTAGCCCATAAATATATCATTCTTTCCTCTAGAATGAGCCAAATGCTGACAGTTTTCCCTTTTTTCAGGTATAAATCATTATTTGCTCTGTGTGAGTTGGTGAGTGCTATTTACAAGGCTATTTTAAACTAACAAGCTTATTTTGGAAGGTTATGATAGACTTAGAGGGAATTACAGGATTGAGTTGGGCAACATCTTGGATGGAGTGCCTGTTTTGATGGACAAGAGAAGAAATGACTAAGTGCCTCTTTGGCTGAGGAAGCAGGAGCAAGCCACTTTAGGTTAACAATGGGTCCAAGTAAGTGCCTTTTTAATATGTCAATTTAAATCTAGCACCCCCTAGAAGGCTAAGCATGAACCACATCTCTCTTTTCACCCTTTTCCCAAGACAAATTTGGTTCAAAAAGAAGTGTGCCTTGTTTAGGACCCTCAGTGCTTGCCACATGTGTGCACTAGAGATGTTCCTTGGTGAGGAGCTAACCCTTGTTTTAGAACAAAGCATCATTTGTAACACAAAAGAGACATGCAAGATGACTTTCTGGCTAAGGGCAAGCCCTGGACTCCCTTCTTCCAACGTACCTTGTGGATACATGGAGGCTCTGGGTGACCTGTGCTGAAGCCTGCAGAAGGTAGGGGGTTCTATGGTTGGACTTCCTACTTGTTCCCCATGTCTATAGTCAAGACAGTGTCTATTCATTCAGCTCCTTTGTTTCCTCTCTGCCCGTGAATAATGGGACTCTTGATTCAGTGTTTCATTGTTTTCCTTCTACTTTCCCATGCCCCAGGGACCAAGGGCCTGGAGCATAGACTCCGGGTGCTGGAGGGCTCTGCTGATTGGCTGGTGCTGCCATCTGGATCTGGAACCTCTGTACCTGCACCCTGGCATGCCAAGTCTTGATAGAGCAGAGAAGGCTTCATGGACTTTGGCTCTGAGCAGCCAGGGTGAGTCCTACATTTTGGAAACTCTGAGGAGGGGCTGGGAAAATATGGCAAGGTCCAGGACTACTACAGAGAGCTGGTGCTTCTCCCCTGGCTTAGACTGGTGAAGACTCTATAGACGAGGCCAGCAGCAGAATATCCTGGGGCTGCCCTAAGGGAGAGCTGCTGAAGAAGACCTTTAAGAGTGACTAGGAGGGAGTCTTTGATGTTTTCCTAGGCGGTAACCATTTCCTCTGTCCAGCCACAATGTTATGACTATCTGTTATAAATGGTTTTGGGTACAGAACCAGTGGGGTGGCTTGGGCTCTAGTGTTGAGAAAAATCATAACCCTGATAATAAACAGAATAGTTGTGTCAAGCTCTGGGAGACGCAGTCAAACATAAAGTTAGTTCCAATATCTGGCCCAATATGGACACTGATAGAACTTTGCTTTCATGGCACTAGAGTTGTGTACAAATTGCCTCGTGGTGCCGGGAGCTAAGCTACTTGATAACGCACATCCCGCTTTCTTATTGACTTCCATTGCAGGTTCATGGACTGCCAAGAATGCAAAAATAAATCTTAATTTGGGCCATTATTGGTTCAAGATTTGTGATAACTTAAAAGGGAATCTATGAAAGTTTGTCTTTGTTCAATGTGCTGTTTCTACTTAGCAAATACAAGTTAGCAGGACAAAAAAACTGATGAACAATGTTTAAAATCATGAAGGAAGAAACTATTTTCAAGCATCCACAAATATTTTAGAAGAGCTAATTACAGAAAAATTACCATTGTCCTAAATAAACACACATGTATTGAACACTCTGCTGGTTGCCATGGGGTGGCAGTGGGGTCACCACCACGCCATGGCAGTCTCTTCTCTCAGTACTTAAAGCCAATGCTATGGGCTCAAATAAATTTAATTCAAGGCAGATTCCCTTAAATATAACCCTTTCCTTCCCAACTGTCTTAAAAAGAGAAATCGTTTCTTGCTGTCCCTCTTGTATTTCATGTTGAAGCTTCAAACCTGATTTCCAGTCCTACCAATCGAATGAAATATTCAGCATTCTCAAATCAATAGTCAATCAATAGCCCATCTGCAGTTCTTTTCTTGCTTAAAATTTTACCAGCTTTCAATGCTACTGACTGTTTTTGACTTTTGTTACACCGTTTTCTCTGTGTTCTTTCTCCTTTCTGGTTTCTATCCCACCTCTGAGAGTGTTCTTTTTGAGAATCTCCCAAGGCCTTCTATCATTGTTTCTCTGGGGTTCCATTCTCACAATTTCTCTTACTCTGGATGCTTTCTCTGAACAAGTTCATAAGCTCCAATCACTTCGACTACAAGTTATATATACTGTGACTCAGAAATCTGCCCTTAGCACTGACCTCTCCATAGATGAGTGGAAGCCACCTAAAGTTCCCATCACTAAGTAGCATACAAGGAGAAAGATTGTGATCATGACAGAGTGAGGAATGGATTGGATGGAGGTACAATAGAGAAGGCAGGTGGATGAGATGTCTTTTGTGTCTAGGTGAGAGGTTAGGAGATGTTTTATGACATCTTGATCTACTGTAGTTTTAATTTACTTCTATTATGCTTCTTGCCACAACATCTTGAGTTATATGTTTATTTGCCTGCCACTTTACCAGCCTGTAAGCTATTTGATGGGAAGGCCTGTGACTTTAATCTTTGTATCCTTATTTTACATACTATAATATGCAATGCTTATACCAATAGGGAGACAGTGGGATTGGGAAAGAGGGAAGACACTTTAGATATTCATCTTATTTACTGGTGGAACTTGTTGATGAATTACATGGGGACTCTGAGTAGGTGGGAAGAGTTGAGGAAGATTCTAAGTATCAAGTCAGGGTATTGGGGATGGGGAGACCATTCACTGAGAAAAGGCACGCAGAATAAAAAGGAGTGGTGGAGCCAATATGTTGGGTTTTAAGTATTTTAAAATTTTTATTCACAATAGTACATGCATGTAACAACAAGAGAGAGAGAGTTACTCTTAACAGGATGGTCCCATCACACCTCACTCCCCTTTCCCTAGCCTCCAACTCACCAGGCTCTTGGGTGCACATGTGTGTGTTTTGTGTCCATTGGGCCGGGGATCTGAAACTTTGGTTGGGCACCTAGCCTCCAAGCCTGCAGATCGATATGTTACCATTGATGCCACCAGGTTAGGCCATGGTATTGGGCTTTAGATCTAGAAATACTGAGGCATGGTGGGATTTGGATGTGGAAATGTCCAGGAGGCAGATGGAGGCATAAAACTGGGCTGATCTACTGTGAGTTATTCCATGAAAACAAAAGCATTAGAAGAGGAGATTTTAAAAATTGCATTATTCACTGAATAACTGCATCTCAGGGTTTACAAAAGTTCTTTAAGGGTCGTAGGTGGTATGGTGGTTAAGGTGTTGGATTCCCACATGGCTGATTAGGTTTGAGTCCCAGACCTGAAGGCTTGAAACTCATGCCAGGCATGTGTGTACGCACCCAAGATTCCAAGAGGAGAATGGATTATGGTGTGGACATCTGCCCTGAGGGGTGATTTCTCACTTTCTCTTGGACAAGCAAAAATGTAAAAATAAGAGAAAAAGAAAAGTTCTGTAAAATCATATATCCCCATTGTTTATGGAATGCCAGAATCCTCGATACAACTTTCTTACCAACCTTCCTGTACTTTGTTCTCTGTCGGCAAGCTTTCCCTGAATTTATAGGATTTTCTCATTTTGATTCACCTTTGAAGATTTTAAAGCCTCTTTAACTTTCAGTTTTAAGTTCCACCACTTTTTTTTTTTAATCATAACAGATTTTTAGAGAAATCTTTTATTGAACATTTACTTACCTGGCTTGGATGTCCATAATTTTACTTCTGGATAGTCTGAAAATAGGGTTGTATTTACTTCTCTTACTCTGTAAGAGAAGCTTTACGTTAACTTGGAGACAAAAGGTATTAAAAGTTTAGCCCACAGCAACTGCCTGTTTGTATCTCTAAGATTTTTGATTCCTGGATCTGATAACTCTTGGGAAGCTGGAGGCAGATTGGGTACAGATCTTTGTTGTACTGTCTACCAGCTCAGAGACTTTGGGCAGGTTACTTAATCACTCAGAGCTTTGGTTTCTTCAAGTAAATGGAGATTCCAATGGCACCAATCTCATAGGGTTTTTGAACTGAATTTAAAATGCTTAAATTTGAAATGAAGCAAATTTAGTTAGTATTAAATCTTATTATTCCTATCTCAGACATGCCCATCCACATAAAGAGCAGTCATCTCTGGGGGAAACATGGCGAATGAGGAAAGATGGCAGAAGTAGTCCTCACCTCATTTAATGACAAAGAAAGGAAATGACTAGAATCAGCGAGGTCTAAACATAATGGATAGGAAGCTTGAGCAATGAGCCAAGAGTCACTCCGCTTGCAGTTTTCCGAGGGAGAGAATTACGGGAAGACGCAGCTTCCGGCATTTAGAAGTGAGAATGTTTTCATCATCACTGTGAGGCCTGTTTTAAATAGTTAGGCTAATTAGGTGATGATTAAATTGCATCGCTCCCATATGTTTGTGCTTTCTTCTATGAAAACTATACCTGCCTGAAAAGTTGTAGGTAGATTATGCGTTTGTGAAGGAATTCTTTGATACTCTGTACATAGTAAGCACTCAAATGATAAATTGCTTTATAAAGTAAATAATAGTAATAACAAGAGCAAACATCTTTGAGCACTTACTATGTGTGTTTCACATAATTATCTCATCTAATCATACAAGGTCACTACTACTACTATTTCCCATGAATTCCTGAAAATGTGCAAATCCAGAGAGCAATGACTCCTTATGTCAACAAGATCTGTCAGTTCTTTGCATGTTCAGATTTTTGTTATTGGGTATCCTTAGAACAAAATACGCCTGTAGGGGAAACGATAGAGATGACTTTCAATTGGTCTCTAAATAGACAAGGCCACTGGAGGATCAGAAAAGATGGCATACAGCTAAGTTGAAGGTATGAGACTCGGAATAAGATGGCCATTCCTCTGCTAAACATTTAACATAGGTTATCTCTAATTCTAGTAACACTTCCCCAAGGTAAGCATTATTATCATTGCCATTTTGCAGCTGGGAACACAGAAGCCCACTAAAGCTGTATACTGAATGCAGGTTACACAATTAGATCTAGCTCGAAGATATAGTTCTCTCTCATTTTAAAGGCAGTCACTATTTCCTTTTCCCATTTCTTTAGAAATCCCCATTCATCCTTCAAGATGCAGCTCCAATGCCATTTATATTGTGAAGACTTAGTGAAATTTTTCAGGTAATTGCATATTCCCCTATAGTCTGTAATACTCTGTCCCTACAAAAGCAGTATGAATTAAAGTTGAATTCTAAGTGGACAGCCATGTGGATCCCCGGTATGGGTTTCATGAAGAGAAGGAAGGATCCATCTTTATGTATCTTTACAATCATATCTTCCCTCTCTTCTATTTTCCAACTAAGCTTTCTGCGTTGCTTATTCTATAATATACTCCTAATAAATTATTGCTAAATTACTGTATAAATTAATGAAGGCTAAGGAACTCATTTGTAAAACTGTGAACTTCCTCCTTTTTGCCAGTTTACTGATTCTGCTTTAAGTATGTTTTCTGTCTGCATCCCTCACTAGTGATGAAATTAACCAGATACTGAGCCATGGAGACCCAGAGCCTGCTTCCCAAGCCAGTGATCTGGAAATGACTGGAGACCATACCAGGTTCTTGGCTACCTTCTTGGTAGCCCCAACAGCAGCAGCAGCACCATCTAAGAACCGTGTGAAACACTGGATTACCCCTTCAGTATGTGATCTGGCAGCAGAAGTCTTGGTTTCCCCAACCCAAACCCATTTTACAGCATTTGCTGAGTCACCTCACATTAACACTATTCAGCAGACACGTGGTAAGTATGCCTTCGGTGGCTGCTCTGGCTGATGCTTTTTCCAAATGTTCACTGAAGCCAAAGGTCCAAGCCCCAGCACTAATCTGCAGCTTATATTTTAATATAAGCAGAATCACTTAACCTCTGAGAGGTTCACTCACACTTCTTGTCAATCACTGTCTGGCCTCTGTCAGTCTTTGACCTACTTTCTTTTAGATTCTGTCCACTTCTCTTCCTTCAAAACATAATGTGACTTATTTACAGAAGAGTTCTTTGGAAATGGAGATGGTTAGAAAATGGACCTAGTCAGCCGTCATCATGGGAAGTCTCCTTTCCTAGTGACTGACCAAAGCTGAGTTGCCATTTAACAGATAGTGACATGTCTATACAATCAAAGCACTGCAATGATGACATGTCTATACAGTCAGAACAGTGTTACAAAGGGTATTCTAAAGCCCAAGGAGACATTTTCACTAATTTCTTGGTCATAACAATGTCAGTAAGCTATTTTGATTCTCAGAGCATTTCTTCAAGGGACGTGGACTTCACATCATGCGTGCACCTCCTTGTGAGAGTGGCCATCCATTGTGACTTACGCCGTTTATCCCAGGGTCACACCGGCTGGGCTTGCACTTGTTACAGGGTTGGAAGATACAGGTTCCCCCACTCTTTGCTGTCTCCTCATCCTACCCCAGTCCACTAATATGATACAAGTCTAGTATGCACTGACTGTAGGAAGGCCAGAGAAGGGTGAGGATGAGGAAGAATGGGGAAGAGTGAGTTGAAGGGAGGGAGGGAGGGAGTATATTGCACTGTACATTTGACTAGGGGAAGAATCCAGCAAAGAAAAGGCGATGACTAGGCAGATACACACACACACACACACACACACACACAAGGAATCTTATCCAATCAAGTAGATCCATGCACAAGCAAAAGCAGGGAAGGCTGCGATGGGCATTAGATTCACCTAAAGGCAGCCCCTGTCACTGGACACATCAGACTCACTTCAGAGGCACTTCTTAGGTGCCTTCAGGAGACTGTCTTTTCTGGAGACTATCTTTTCTGGCTAAGGACATTTTGTAAATGCATAGGGAAGAGCTGTTAACTGATTAACAGATGAGCATAAATTAGCTTGTATGATTAAGTGATTAATACCTATTGTGAACTACCAGAGTCCAAGGAGAATTGAGTCTGATGAAATGAAACTAAATATTTTGCCTGTGCCATTACAAAGTTTTAAGGTAGATGTGTGGCATCTTATCTTGATGTGATTTCCTCTATTATTTTAGCACAGGAAAAGAAGGAATGAGGAAGGGTAGGGGAAACCAATTCCTAATAAACCTGAAAGCATGTACACAACATCACATTGATCCTCTCAGCACCTCCACAGGCGAAGAGCAGTTGTCCTCCCTCTACAGCCGAGGTGACAGGGCTTGCAATAGTCAAGCAAGATGCCCAAGATGGCAGAAAAAGGACCGATAGCCAGGATGGACCCCAAATTTCATTACATTTCCACATGGTCAGTCTTTCACTATTGATGAGCAATGTAAAGGAAAAGCATGGCTTGTTCTTGCAGGAGTTGTAAGAATTAGTGATAATCATGAAAATTACGATAAAGAGAGAATGTGAAATTGGTGATGGTGATGGCCATTTCAAATACTGAGTGCCAGATACTCTGTTAAACTTTTCATGTTTATTATTTTATTTAATCCTTATCAAATAACTATGAAGTAGGTATTATAAACCTCTTTTTGCAAATGAGAAAATCAAGGCTCAGAGACAGCAACTGAGTGGTTGAGCCCAAATTCAAGCCCAGCTGTCTCTGATGGCAAAGCCTGGGCCCCTGGCCCTTCCATGGTCTGCTGGAACAGAACCCAAGGAGAAACAGAGAGTCCCAACTAGAGCTCAATGCCAAGAAGTCTTGAAACTCTCAACTCTGAGACAGACCTGGAGTAGACCTTTACTTGTTCTCCATCAAGATTAAATCAAAAAGAAAAATTCTGAGTAATTTAATGCTTTTAAAATAATTTAAAAACCTAGTGGGTCAGACAGTAGCACAGTAGTAAAACATGGTGCTCTGTGACCCTGATCTACACGGGAAGTTCTGGGTTCATGTCTGGAGACCTCCCTAAATACACCAGGCACCCTGGTCATTTTGTTTAAGCTGGCTGAGGCTGGAGGTGGATCATGATGTCTTGGGGGGTGCTGTCTCTCTAACTCTCTTGTTCATGGAATAAATAAATAAACTTTTAGAAAGTCTAGCATTAAAGATCTAAAATAATTAAATATTAACTAGAAAACATAGAAAATTTATTCTCTGTATTATCTTTGTAAGCACGGTTTAGTAGTCTTGTTTAGCTCATTTAATTGATTCCTATTGAGGTGAGGAAAAAATCTTTTTAAGGTCTACTATGTGAAGAGATTGAATATCCAATGGCTCGTATGAGACATTTGAGTGCTGAAGGTAAAGAGCCACAGAAAGAAATCCAAAGTGAGGCTGGGGTGCAATACCACTAGTTTCTTTCCAAGATTGCTAAAACCAAATCCAGGGTATTTGACTTGGGAAAGGTGCATCAAATGCATGGAGACAAAATGGTGCAGTATTAACTTTACTAAAGTGATGACAGAAGTCAATCTAGAGATCTTAGTCATGAGAACATAGGTATTAGCAAAAATCATAAAATAGGAAACTTCTTTCTGTTTTCCTTATTTCAGTTCTCAGAATTCCTTTTCTCTTCCAGGGGTGCTAGGATTGCTTCCGGAGATGCCTAAAGCCTTGGCGTCAAGAAACTTGACCTTTGCTTCAAGTTTCTTTCTCTCTCTTCATCGGCCCCATCAGACACTAAACCTTTGTTTTGTGGACAGTTTTTCAAGCCAATTCAGCAGCTACACAAATCTGTGCAAATTTAGTAAGTTGCTATTAAACTTTAAAATAGGACCTGCTTCAACTCTTACACGTGCTGGTATTGTTGAACGTCTTAGGGACTAGAGCAAGGTGGGAAGGAGCTATTTAGAAGGGGAGGTTGTCTTGCAGGACAGAGGATAGTTCCTAAGGGACAGATTACACAGCTCGGCCAAGCAGGAACAATGGGTTGTCTACAGGACAAGTGGCCACAGGCTCCTAGAAGAAGCAGTGTACGAGACCACAGTACAAATCATCAGGGAGAATCACTCACCACCAGGATTTCCACCTGTATCCTGCCTCTGATCTCACACAATTCATTCACCTTTTCCCCCTCTATATCACTTATGTTGGAATCTATTTCCATATGGGCCCAAAGGAGGATCCTTTTTGTCCATCCCAACCCCCTCAGTTTGCTACAGGGTGCATGAACCCACCAGAGGTAGATAGAGAGTAATAGAGAGAGGGAAAATGAGAAGTCACCCCTGCGGGGACAGCCATGCTACAATCCCTTCTCCTCCATTCTCCTCTTAGGATTTTTTGGGCATGCATATTCACATGCTAGGCATGTTTTTCAAGCCACTGGATCCAAGGCTTGAACCACACAGTCAGCCATGTGGAATCCAGCTACCTTAATCTTCATGCCACCTGCTGGCCCCATTCCTAAGCTTATTGAAGACAGGAACACCTCTTAATCCATAGGAAGTCAGTGCCTTATTCATGCATGTGTCGAAAGAGGTCACCAACATTAGTGATAACGAGATGTTCAGAAATCACAGCCCCAAGTAGTTTGAACATTCATATTCTTCATGGTTCAGTCACGTTCTCTGAGTAACTCTATGATCTATATATCTGATGCCATTCTAAATATGCTGTTTTTGATTTTGCATGTATCTATATATTTTTGTATCTTATCACATATATTTTTGGAATCCAGTTGCAAAATAAGCCAGTGTACAAATGAACCAGTAAATGAAGTGTTTGGATTTGTAGGAATAACGTGAGCTATCACTGGCCATATTTAAAACCCTCTTTTAAGAAACATAGCAGTATTATGTCAGATCATTTGGTGTCCAGGGTCTCTGAATGATCTTTTGCTGGACTTCCTTTTGTAACCTTTTGTCAGAATAAGAAGCCATCTATATATTCACGTGGCATGTATGGTTTCCCTTATATTCCATGTAGCTAGTACTTATTTTTCTACACTTTTTACCTTAGAAAATCTCTGTCAAATCCTCCTAGAAAATGCTAGTGTTCTTAATGCCACAATGTATTTGAGCTTTGGATTTTTCAATATTTGTAAATAAGGTTGAGAGGTTGCTTACCCCAAGGGACAGGGCATCAATTCTGTAAAAAACTGGGGCACAACAGCATTAGGGGATCTGATCCCAGAATCCCCAGAGCAGGAAAGCAGGTAAATCAGAACCCAGTTTGTGCTCAGTGTTGGCCACACTGTCCCTGTCACTGGGGTTGGGAGGCAGCTGAAGCCAGGTGGGCGAGGAGCAGAGCGGCTGTGATCTCTCTAAGGTAGCCAGATGGCAGGGAGCAGCCTGCTGGGCATGGTAATGGCCAACCCAGGCATGGGCACTTTTTGCTGGAATTTGCTCTCCGTTATCAGGGCGCCAGGTGACATGGGTCATCTTCCGCTTCAAGCCAAGTTACAGGACAACAGGAGAAATCTACCACCTGGCCAAGACACCTCAGTGAACAGCTCTCACGTGGGCTGAGCTGCAAGTTGATCCTCAGAAAACAAAACTCTTTCTTGTTTGGTCCTAAAGCGCTCCTCCTGTCCAGTCTTTTGTAGGGGCTTGACTGCCTTCAGTCCTCGGAGGGCTGAGCTTGAAGTTCATGCACCAGCTGAACTTTCCTCTGGCTGCGAGGGGTCTCACTTGTTCTGCAGACCATAACTTCATCCCCACCCCACATCCAACTCTCTGCCTCCTCTCCTCCATCCATCTGCTTTCTCATGTGCTGCTTATTTAAGGAATGCTACTAGCAATAGATAGAGCAGGGATTGCAAAATGATTTTACAAAGAAAGACAATTTCATATAAAAATAGTCTAGAAAAGAGAAGGTCAGGTGTGAAGGCTGGAGTGAGCAGAACTGTTTAATGACAGAAGCATCCAACCGAGGCTGGCAGGCTATTCTAGTTGGGGAATAGGACCAGGTGGCTTGAACCAGGAAAGGAAGGATTTCAGCTAGATCTGACGTACAGCTAAATCGTCCTTCAAGTTTAAAAACCACAGCCCTTTTTTACTACTCCTCAACAGCCATGCTACTTCTTTGTAACCAGCAGGCACTATAAAAAGCATCGGAATCATAGAGCAGGAAGATGATCTTTTGGTTTCTTAGGCCAAGCCCCCCCCCCAACCCCCTTTCAGGGAACTAAGGAAGGCAGAGTGTGAGTGAGGCATTTATGATGGAACACACCTCCCCTCCATCGGCTTATTAACATTTAATAACATTTGCATATGCTTTGGGCCAGCCTCCCTTTCCAACCTGCCAATACTTTCAGAAACTCCCCCTGCAATGTGCATTCATGGCAGAGTACAAGGATGGTCAATTTTCCATAAAGGGAATTTGGACTTTCATCTGACCTGAACTCCAAGTTGTAGGTAACTAACCTTCAAGAATGAGAATGGGGACTTGGGCTTTGGGTAATGGTCTTGATTCTTACTCTTACTGAGATCACTTCTTTGTTTGTTTGTTTGTTTTTTGCAAACACATCTTTAAGCATCTGAAGGATAAATGCTGCACTGGGGGCCAAAGGTGAAGAACTTTTATTGGTGTTAATCCAGGGCAAGTACTTAAAATGGAAGGATCTGAGAGCCCCTTGGAAAGTGTCCTGCCTGAGACTAATGAGAGTTGTAGATAGCAGGAAGGATATAGGATCTTGGAGCCAAGAAAGCTGCAGGAATGGGAGGAGTCTTCCAAGGAAGGGCAGAGCGCAAACGGGAGGCCCTCAGGACCAGCAAGGCATATGCCCTGTGCACACATGCCTGCGTGTCCTCATGTGCATGCTGATGGGAGAGTGGCCAGTCTCTGACCTCAGGGAGGTACCCAGCCATGTGGGAGAGAATGAGCAGAGTGGTCCTGCATCGGGACTGAAGAAGAGCAAACACTCAGATAAGGGAGAAGATGAGATGAAGGAAGGGCTGGCCAGGTCATGGCCTTAGAGAATGTTTTCTGTTGGCAGCCCTTGTTGGAGTACAAGGCCTTGCCCTGGGTCATGTCAGCTGCTGCCTATGGGACTCTGGCAGTGAATAGGTACTGGGAAACTTTTGGTGCGTTCAGATGGCAGGGGCAAAGTGTCAAGGAGGTAACTGAGGGCTCAGAAGAAAGATGAAGCTGATACAATATGTAGAGATTCCCAATTCCCTACCCCTCTTACTCTTTCC